TGAGTCAGTTCACTGACTTTATGATTAACTTACTGTTAAATTGTTAAATTTAAACATTTATCACTGTAAACTGTCATAGTCTGGCTTTAACCTGTGTAACTGGCTTTTTGGAGCAAACTAAATTAGTAAAACTTTGTCACATTAATAGATTTTTGTGCTCCACTTGTATTTGCAGTTAACCAAAAGCTTTAGAAGACTTCATGCAACTGAACCTAGTGTCAGTTTACAGTTGCTGTAAACTCTCACTCAAAGTGACTTAACATGAATTGAACATGTTAAAATGCATCAGTGGCTCAGAAACATGAATGTCCAGAGATGTTTGTCATTTGTAGAAGTTCAGTCTTTCCCAATAGAAATGGGGGTTTTCAGGTTTATGATGATTATCTACGGTCTTCAGTCAGACTTGTTAATCAGTTCACACTAGCACCTACGTATTCAGTGATTTTTGGGGGAAGCAAGAGATGAATACAAACAGTTGCTGATGTTTTAAATGAGAAACTGGCTGCTGCTTTTTAACTGCGGTCACCTGTGACGTTGCTAAAAACCACCACTCTCCCCTCCAGATGATGGCAGGATATTTGGTGACTTTGACGAGCAAATTCCTGAGGATGCGCTTCCTGACGTTGAAGGAGCTGCCACCAGCAGCGCCTTCAGCCCTTTTGCTCACCATGGATTCCAGGTGGATACGGCGGACTCTGTACTGGGAGACTGGACCAGTGGTACAGGCGGTGGATTCAACATGCCGTTTGTAAGGACATGGTCTGGTCAGAGTTCGAGTGAGCTCAACGTGGTTTGCAGTGAAGTTGGCTTCCAGATGAATCTGCCGACGGGTCCATTAAGTGAAGTTAAGGTTTTGGGTATGTACTCTAACTCTTCTGCACTATATTTAAATGAAGTTTTGCTGAATACATGTCTGTTTACTGGGTTTATTTGACTCTCCAGGTTCGAAGCATCTGCTGTCTGTCACGACTGCGCCAGCATCTTGTGGTTATGAAGTGAACTCTTTCAAGAACACGTTGACTGTACCCTTTACTGGGTGCAATGTGAAAGTTGTAGTTAGCTGTAAAGTAAGTGTACTCCTGATTTAATGACTGCTTTTAATATCTAAGTCCTACGATAAAATGTAGTTTGCTTACATGGAATTCAGTTTAAGGTCTTACCCGAAAGCTGTATTTCTAAATGATTGCAGACGGACAGCTACAGCCTGCAGTTGTTGTATGTCGATAACTTTGGTGAGACTCGAGTTGCCACCGCATCCTGTGACGTGAAGAAAGTAAAGTCAGATGGTAAACTGCTCCCTCGTGCCAATGATCAACCCACACTGAAGTGCAGTGAGCCAACCACTGCGCCAACAACACCGTCAAAGGCACAAAGTGAGTGCAAACAACAGTATTTAACGTCACTTTTAGGGAGTTTTTATTGTTTGATGGCTTTTTTTTAACATAACTTCAGACTGTGCTGTGACTGCGGGGGAGCAGGTGCCTTGTGGTCAGTCGGGAATGTCTTCCTCAGCCTGTAAGACGATGGGATGCTGTATGGATCCTTCTACATCTGCCTGCTACTACCCGCTGGATGGTAAGGCTTTTGTTTAGGTAGATATGATATTTAAAGTCTTCAGTTTTTAACTTAACTCTGTATTTAAAGTAACCTTTCTGGTATAACTCATCTCACTTTAGAGTGCACTGGGGATCAACACTTTGTTTTCGCCATTCGATATGACTCTGCATCCATCCCTGTGGACCCCACCAAGCTTGTTGTTCCCGGGAATACAAACTGTAAACCGGTCATCCTTAATGACAAGGTCGCCATCTTTAAGTTCAAAGTTACAGAATGTGGAACTCATGCTTATGTAAGTTGTCCCCTTTGACACCCCAATACAACACAACCCTTTTATTTTTTTAATTTTTTTATTTTTTTCAGGATGTTTTCAGCACTCTAATTTTTATTTTCATTGTTAAGCTATTTTTGTTTAAACAGATTCTTACCCGGCTCACCAGGCAGTGGCGGTACCCAATAAGGGTACTCCTAGACAATGGTCTGGTACTTGTTACCAGTGAGTACCAGGCACTACAGATCAAGAATTTAATGCTGCAGCCCTTTCAACTTTCAGCTGCATAGATTGGCGGTATTGTCCTGCCATTGTAGCAAAGTATTACTAGAGTTTGTCATAAGGTGCTTACAAGTAAAACTAAACAAACATGTTTCTCAGTTCTCAAATGTGGCAACAACCGATCCAAACTGTTTGGACTAAAAGTCGTCTTTTAGAGATCCTACATGCTGTGTAACCGAGGAGACCTGAGTTGACCGAAAAGGTTTTACTACTTGACAGACCGTTGGTGAGACGATGATCTACCTGGCTGAAGTGCAGTCTACTATACAAGCTCTGAACCTCAAGTATGGAGTAATTACAAGAAGTGATCCGCTCAGGTTGGTTATTCAGTCTACTTTTACTCTGCAGGCACACTTCTATCCCAAGTTAATTACCTTGAGCCTAATTGTGGCTCTAGTGACCGAATAATATAGTCCAGATGTAGACTTGCATGTTTGTGTTTAAGCTCTATATGCAGTATGGACATAGAGTATACTCTAAGCATTGACCATGTCTGTCTGTAGGTTTATGGTTGAATGCCGCTATGGCAAACTGGGCTCCAGTCAGCAGTCACTGGCCAGTGTTGGTTACATGGTGATGACTCCAAAGTCCGTCTTGCCCTCATCAGTTCTCTCAAATGGCTTATATGCCGTTGAATTGAGAATTGCTACAGGTTGGATATTTATGTCACTTTCCAAAAACAAATGAGTAAAATCTTGATCAGTTAAGCTCTCAAACAGTAACATTTCATCAACTAAAATGAAAGTTTGCTCCTCGTCTGTCTAACCCCAACAGATCAGACTTATTCCAGCTACTTGCCCACATACCATCAGCCTTTGAGACTTCTCCTTGGCAAACCAGTGCATCTTGAACTAAGACTAAGGAGTCCAAAACCAGACGCAGTCATTCTTGTCAACTACTGTATAGCTTACCCACGCTCTGCAAAGAACGCACTGGTGCTCGTTTATGAAGGGTAAGCACGACTGTCTGACCTCTTTTTAATGTGAAATTAATTTCCTTTTGCCCTTGGTTCATTTATTCATGAACTATGTCTTCGTAGGTGTCGCAACCCTTATGATCCAAATGTGTCCATCCTTCAAATCAGTGACCTTCCAAAAAATCGCCACGTGAGGCGTTTTGTGGTCCAGGCCTTCCAGTTTATGGATCAAACGACAAACATGTACCTTAATTCAGAAGTAAGTTGATGTATTCAGGGAGCCATTGTGGGTCTAAATGGTCAAAGCTATACTGTTCAAACTAAAAGGGACCCTGACACAGTAAATGTGGTTTAAGTGTTATGATTTCAACTCTGACACATTTGCTTAATTAAATTCATTCACTTGAGATTTTGAGGCATCCCCTCTAAAGGTTGTATGAACTCTTTTTTTTTTTTTTTTTTTTTT